CCCTACACACCATAAGGTATCACTGTAGGTATTTGTCAGACAAGGGAGGACAAACACACCATCTCGGGACGGGGTGTGTGTGCCTAGGATGGCCTCTGGCACCGGGTGGGATTTCTGATGGTACAAAAATCGGTGGCTATGAGCCACAAGGTACAAATAGGGCAAGGGATGCTCTGTCTTCTTGCTGCTTGGGGGGGGGCAACAGTGGGAGGTCTTCTAGTGTCCTGGCCCCACTGCTGGACCTCCTGATGGCCCCTGGTATTTTTGACCACTGTGTGACACAGAGTGTTGGACTGGATGGGCCTTTGGCCTGATCCAACATTGGCTCCTCTTATGTTCTTATGTTCATCTAGTAGAATAATCTTCAGAGGCAGTGTTGCTGCTTCTACTAGATCAGTGGCTTTTAAAGCTAGAAAAATGGAGCTTTGCTGTGTTGATTCTCACAACTGGATCCTTTCCAGCAATTAGAAGGCTGAGCTAGCAACTAAACTGTCTTCAAGGATACCCATGGCTGCCTGCCTGGACTTTGGGCCCATTTACTGCTCTGCAGGAGATATACAGTTAGGGGGAGGAACTGGTCTACAAGATCTCTTCCCTGCCCCCAAATCATGCCCTTTTAGTCTTCAGTTGTCCCTTCCCTTAAGCGTCCTTGGCCACCCCTTCTCCACATTTGGTTTCTGCCTTTTCCTGACAGGGTTCCTTTCCTCAGTAACAGTTGTATGCAGATCAAGTAGCAATACCGCTTCTGGATGGGTACAGCCACATGCCAGCACCCAGGAGCACCATAGCTGCACAGCTAAGCAGCAGATCTTGCCTTCAGCTGTCCTCCTGGCACTGTGGCTGCACCCATTCTGGTGGCTCAGTGTCACGACAGGGACCTCGACGCACGCAAGAATGGCATCTATTTTTTGCAGGTTTTGTGGTGCAGGGCTCCACTGGAGAGGCTCCCTACTTGACACAGCAGGAACGTCTGGAGGTGGTGAGACGGCTGCGGCAAGCTGTGCCCAAGGAAAAATTGCTGCTTGTTGGGTCTGGATATGAAAGTGAGCAGTGTGCAGGGTGGGCCAGGGATTATCAGCCTCTAGTTGCACCAGCCCTGAAGGCAGCTTCTAGAGTTGAGAGCTAATCCTGGGTGCATCTTGTGTGCATGGGGCCTAATTCTACTTCTGGTGCATGGCTCCTAATCGGACAGGGCCCATTTAAACTCAATAGGCCCTTCAAACCCTCACCCTCATGAGACCCTTGTAATTGATCTTGGATAAAACCTCCTTCCTCTTCCCCCAGCAACTCGGGGCACTATTGAGATGACAGCACAAGTGGCTGACAAAGGGGCTGATGCTGCTCTTCTGGTGACTCCGTGCTATTACAGGGGGAGCATGACCAGTGCTGCCTTGATCCGTCATTACACAGAGGTGAAGAATGGGAAGAGTCAATGCTGGTAGTGGGACCTGGGATTTGAGAGGAAGTGGCTAAGGGTGCTGAGGAGGTTGTTTATTGATATGTCATTGGAGGCTGGTTGTTTATGTAAGTATGCGTGTATGTCAAGCAAAATAGAAAGGCTGCAAATAAATGCCTTTAATTTTTCTGAACTGCAGCTTCTATTTTGCAGCCTGAATTAACTGGGGTTTTATCAGAGACACCTGTGCTTGTTTAGTTTACAATACAGCTTCACCCAGCCAGAAAATGTGGGTTGACTAGAGAGCTGAATCCAGCATGAAATTAGGAAGGAGTGGATTTGATAACTGTCTGCCTTGAGCTTTAGATGTGATCATGTTTTCTCTTAACACAGTTATGATCCGTTTACAGGGTCTGGCTTCATGCTGTATGTTCGCTTGCTTTTTCTTTGACATCCACAACTATTAGGATAGGACCAACTGTAAACCATAATGAATGAATAAATAAATAAATACATGCATTGTTTCCTACAAGTACTGTTCCTTCTCATTCTGAAAAGTGAGGCTGATATTTAATTCATTTGGGGGGTGGGGCTTCGATTGCATGCCAACCAGAAGCCATTACTGGCTGCTCCCAGACCACTCGCTCTCAAATTAATTCTAATTGACTATTTCTAAACAAACCTGACCTAAAATATGCTGCCTAAAGCTTCTAAGGGTAAAAAGAATCAAAAGAATGCCAGGGGAGCTCCTTAAAGGATTTTTTTTACATTGGCTGAATTAGCCAATACCTCTTCAGTTTCTGCAGGAGATGAGGATACAAACACTGCTGACTCTCTCCTCACACCAAAGTTTTTATTAGAAGTGTTGGGAAGAAAATGTCAAGAGCCAATGCCAGATATGGTGGATATGATATCTCCTTTAGCTCCATGCATGGAGGAATTGGAGTCTCAATATAAACAAACCGCTCAAAAAGCAGAAGCAACATTAAAGAAAGTCGCCTCCCTGGAAAAAACACTTGGAACCACCTCTCAGGACAGTTGGTCTAGAGAAAAAATTATGATGTTGGAGTTTTGTATAAGAAATAAAAACCTAAAATTTTGCAGGTTTGATTCAAATGCTGAAGCAACAACTGACCTTTCCATTTTCATGGCATCCTAGCTGCTTCTTTAAAATTAGAGGAGGGAGTGACACCATTGAAACTGTGAGCTTACCAAGTAGATAAAACAACAGATTCCTCCAAGACTGCCCTTTCCGGTACAGACATAGTGGTAGAGCTGGCAGACTATCAGACTAAGGAAAATCTTGATGGAAGCACATCAGCAGAGCAGTTTGGATTTTCAAGGAATCAAAATGCTTGTATTTCCAGACCTTCCCCCCAAAATGCTTACGATTTGAAGAGACTTAAAACCTATTATCTCTAAACTTCAGGCAGCAGGTATAACATACCATTGGCTGCGGTCAGGTAAAATGTTTGTGAAATATCAGCAAACTCAATATATTGCATATGACTATCTTTCTGGATCAGCTTTATTATCTGCCTTAGGTTTGCCTCAGTTAGAGTAAGCTGAAACTCGAGCTGTAAAAAGGAAGATTCATTCACCGTTGACTCCTGTTGAAAGCAGCAAGCTTCATGTTTCTGAAGAAACAGAGTATGGTGAAATAGAGCTTGATGTGATGTAATTTTGTAATGTTCTATCACAATAACAAGCTACGTATTTATTAGCTCAATGTATATATAGTTTGGGGGGGCTGGGAGGCCCGGAGAGCAGACAGGTATGTGCTATCATATTGTAGGTCATCGGGTGGAGGAGAAGGCTCTCCCCTCGCCTACATTGTGGGCTCCTATAGACCTAAATGGTTTTCTGGGCTCCAAGATATACTGTATCGGTTAATTAACTATTAGTTTAAAACAAGAAGACAGAAGATGCTGGAGCTTAGGAAGCTAGTAATTATCAGGTATGTTTCAATGCATAATTAATGATCATTTTGAAAGAAGTAAAAAAAGAAGTTTATATAAAGAGATATAGATACAATGTAAGGAGATATAAATTGAACTGATATAATTTATCTTAAACACTAGATTATGCTATATATAATCTATGTACTTTTTTACTGGTTGTGAATAATATAGTTCTTTAATAAAAATATTTAATCCATCTGTACCCCGGCTTTCTCCCCAGTGGAGACCCAAAGCAGCTTACATTGTTCTCCATAAATTCTCTAGTTTATGAGGAATCACTAATAGGCAGTTAAAAATCCCCCAAAATTAAAGTACCCCTGTGGTACCTTCACACCATACCCTAGGAGACAATAACAGCACATCCTACTGTACTTTGCTGTGTTGAAAAATGGACACTCTGACCCCGTCACCAGTCAGAGGAACAAGGTTCGTATGATAATTCCACCACTTACATCCAAGCAAGACTAACAGTGAGGGAAAATCGACCTTGCTGAACTGTATATAAAAATCCATCTGTCAAGCTGATCTCTTTCCTCTTCACTCTGCTTTCCTTGTGTGTCTTGTCCTCTTAGTTTCTAATCTTGAGAGGCAGGAGCGGTCTCTCTTTGTGAATGTAAGCCACTTTGGGATACAATTTTCAGAAACTAGGATATAAATATAACAGGTACAAATATCATGCAGTCCAACAAAAATTTCACACTTCATTGTCCTGCATTCTCCTGAAGAGGAAACACACGAGATTCTTCTCAAAACAGACAATGTTGAACAATAAATGCAAAATAACAAACAGTGACTGTATTTGTAGGATCTGCTACATCAGGGGAATAGCTGGTGGAAGAATGAGATTTTACTGTGCTAAGGAAGAAGAGTTTGCAAATTTTCTTTGATAGCGCTTTCCAAAGAATAACTTGTTAGGAGCTTCTCATTTTATGTGTAAAGGGCATGGATTATTTCCTTCTAATGCTCATATGCTAGTACTGGATTCTTTTGTATCCCCCAGGTGGCTGACGCATCTCCAATCCCTGTGATACTGTACAGTGTCCCAGCCTTTACAGGTCTGGAGCTTCCCAGTGACGTGGTGCTCACCCTGGCACAGCACCCCAACATTGTGGGGATCAAGGACAGTGGTGGTAATGTGAGTGAAAGGTGGGAGGCATATGCTGAGCTCATGTGATGCTGCTGGGGGGGGGGTGTTAATTGTACCCTGGGATGATGATAGGCATTCCGGTTTGAGGACCTGCCAGCATTTGAGAGATGAAGGCTGGAGCTCATTTTATCTTAAGTAAGCAAATGGTTTGCTGGAGAGTCTAGAGACCTGCCAATTTCTCCTTCACTTCAGGTGTTCAAATATTAACTTTGAAGTAATAATTTCAAGCTGCCCAGAAGGGACATGTAAGGCAGAGTCAGATGAGAGCTTCCCACCCTCTAGGTGTAGCACTTGTGTATTTGGAAATGGCACTTGCCGTTTTATCTCTCTTGAGTCTTGTTGTTGACTACAAGTCTGTAGACTCTCCCCAGCCCACTCTGTCAGCTGTTGCCCTTCCAGTGCCTCTTCCCATTAAAAGCATTGATTAAATTTTTCCTCTCTTCTTACTGGAAGAGCATCACTGTTTATGTGTGGTTCCCAGATGATCTCTTGTCCAGGAACTCACCAAGCTGAGCATTAAAATATGACATCATTGTGTGACCCTAGGCCACAATCTACTTAGAATTGTGGGCCATCTACCCCCCCCCCCTTCTTCTTGCTTGATAGTATCTAATGCAGTCACAGTATTAAGTTGGTTAAGTAAACAAAAAGAGTTAAAGGGCCAAACGAGACATGGGGGCATCCTTGTGGCTACCATGAGGATGCTATCATTTTAAAGTGATTTAAAGGACAGTGCTTATCCCCCCCAGGCCTGTAGCTACAGTGGGGCATCTCAGGGCCCAGCCCCCTGACTTACCACCAAGGCCCCCTGACTTCCCATCCAGCCAGGTGCTCCTTTGGGGGGGGGTGCAGGAGGGTGTGTGTGGGGGGCCCCCTGACTTATTCAAAGGCCCCCTGAATTTAAAAATCCTGGCTACAGGCCTGATCCCCCCTGCCTTTTCAAGTGCTGAAACAGACAGAGCGTGCAGCTGTTTGGGCACTTGATAAGGTGTGGGGTGCACGGACGGATGACAAGTGTGCCTCTGCCTGCCCTGCTGCAGACCCAATCAGGATCAGGCCCTCACAGCATTTTTAAATCACTTTAAGATGGCGGTGGTGTCTTTGTGGTGGCCATAAGGATGTCCTATCGTTTAGACTGGCCCCCCAAAATCCCATCCTAGAACTTGACATATTTTTTTGACCAGACTAGTAGACTATGCGGGGCGGGGGGGGGGGGGGGGGGGAGAACCCTGAGAAACTTAAAAAGCAAGCTTCATACAAGGAAGGGGGCACAAGGCAACATCATACCATCGTTTCTACCATACCTGTCCAGTGATCATGCTTGCCCTGGCAGATGTCTTTATGTTTACTGCCCTGTCTATGCTCCCGGCATACTCCTGAAGATTGGCATCCCAGTACTCGCTCTCTCACTATCCCAGAAATTCCCCCTTTTCTTTCACCAGATTACCCGCTTGGGGCTGCTTGTCCATAAGACTCCGCATGAAGACTTCCAGGTACTGGCAGGATCAGCTGGTTTTCTGCTGGCCAGTTACACTGTAGGTAGGTGATATGACGAAATTTATCTCCATATGGGGCTATCCTGCAGAATGTAGATGGCTGTATTAGGAAGGAACAAACTAGGATGTGTTGGAATTTCTGAAGGAGGTGAGACAGAATTTCCTCTCCATAACATGCCTTCAATAGCATAGCACTGGTTTGAAGGCAGCTGAGTGAGAATATTGGGATTTGCTGCGGGGGGCAGGGCTGGGGTACAAAGATGTGTTCCCAGTGAATGGATGTTCTTTTTTATTGGATCTGCTCCAGGTGTCGTTGGAGGAATCTGTGCCCTTGCCAATGTGCTCGGTACACCTCTTTGCCAGCTTGAGAGTCTCTGCCGTGCCGGAAGTTGGGACAAGGCCCGTGAACTGCAGCACCGACTCATTGAGCCAAACCTAGCAGTAAGAGCCAGAGTACTGGGCGTGGAGGGGAGAGGGATGACTGACGTTGAAACACAGCTATTTTGCCAAACTACAGGAGGAAAGGGTTTGCTTCTGTGGGCAATGAGTTCTTCAGGGACTGAAACAAGGACAAGGGGCTCTTCCATGCTCTTGGAAGAACATCTCCTGTGAACTCAGCACTCCCTGCACCTACAGCTAGATCAGTGGTATGACCAAGCAATTCCCTAGAGGTGGGTGGGTGATCTCTTGGGTCACCTTCAACAGTTCTGAACTTTATCCCCTTTGATTTTTGAGACTCAGAAGATACTTCTGGGTAGCTTAGGCCATGATATTTTGAGGGTCCTTTGTAAAATATCTGGTTTGTTCTCAGCATTTTTTCAATTTTTGCACAAACATGATTTGCAATCATAGAATCATAGAGCTGGAAGGGAATGTGGTGCCCTTCTTATTGGGGGGGGACCTGTTTTTTCCTTTAATTCATACTCTGTGACATGCTTGCTTTTAGGGGAAACAGTTTTACCTTTTAATTCACACTTTGCATACATAAACTTGGTAGTTTCTGCTGCCACCAGGAATTTAAAATTCCAAATCTCTCTCCTTTGGTAGTGTAACCCAGGGTCTGGGCACTTCAGAGGACTATGTGGTCCTGAGGAAGTACTGTAATATTTAAACAAAAATGGATTTATTGAAATAAGAACAAAATAGGTTTCTGGAAAAAGGAACTTGTAAAATGTAACCAACAAGCTTGGTGTCACACCAGTCTCTCAGACACCAAAATTCCCTCTGACAGGATTCTCTCTCTCTCTCATATGTGTAGCCAAACCGGCTAAACTCTTTAACTTTTCCACACAAGATAAAACATTGGTCTAATCACAGTTTAGACACAGCTTGATTCATTTCCTTGTAGCCTCTCTCTCTCCACAGACTCTCTTTAAAGTTTTTCACACTTTACTCTCCAAAGACACAGAACGCTCTCTAAAGTCTGTCATCAAACACACACAGAGACAGAAATTCCTCTCAGAACATCTCCTCCCACACTTTCAGTCATCAACCAATCACAGCACACGCATCTCCCCCTATTGCCCTCCTTGCATTACTGCAGTCAAACTAACATTTAAAGGAACACACACACATCAAAACAAGGAATCATTACAGGGACCTCCAGCATCATCTAGTCCAACCCCCTGCACATGCAGGTAACCTCCCCCTCACACCCCCAGTGACCCCTGCTCCATGCCTAGAAGATGACAAAAAAAACCCCTCCAGGATCCCTGGCCAAACTGTCCTGGAAATTGCTTCCTGACCCCAAAGTGGTGATCAGCATTTCCCCGGGGGTGTAAGAAAGGACCACAAGAACTGAGCACTGATGCAATCATGAACACTTATTTTTTGCCATTCTATTTCATCTTCATTTTAAGAGTTAACAAAAAATAAAATAAAATCCCAGGCTTCTTCTTGAGCTATTCCACAATAAGGAAAGAACTGACTCAGTGGAAAGACATATACTTTCTATGTCTAAGGTCCCAGTTTCAAATTCTGACATCTATAATTAAAGGGTATCAGACAAAATAATGATGATGATGATGATGATGATGATAATAATAAATCTTTCCC